ATAGAATGTGTTGGGAGACTTGTTGTTGTATTTTTGTGCTATGTGGTACACTCTTATTAGAGGCCCAATAGGCATCTCGTAAGGGCTCGAGCTAATCTACCTTTGACTGTATAATCTAACATCGAGCAAGGGCTATAACTCAAGGTTAATGGAGGAAGATAAGGATGATTGTTTGTCATGTATTACAATATCTCTTGTATTTCCATTATATAATTGTTGTTTCCCTACTTTGCAAGTATATAAATGTTTGGATACATTATCATAAATTGGTATTGGTTATTGAGATTTTTAAGTCTCATTATATGGTTAACAATTTTTAAGAGAAGCGCCAAGTATGGCACGTGGAGAACAATTTTTAAGAGAAGAGCCAAGTATGGCACGTGGAAAAGCCCTTGAGGCATAGTGGTATGGATTCCTTGTCTCTTTTGGGTATTTTGATTTATGATTTTAATGATGTTATATAGTCAACGCTAGGGTTTTTGGTTTATTGATAATTGTATGAATGTAATGTAGTGATCATACCCTTCAAATTGTTTCTACTTTTAGTACACTGTGGATGACTATAACCTTGAAGTTTTATTTATTTTGAATGGTTTAAAATGATATAATTATAGAGTCATATAATTGGCTTTTTAAAAAAAATTGGTTAATTTGTCTATTTTAGTTGTTGATTTATAGTTACTTACGCTATTAGAAAAATATAAACTAGCAAGGGATTGTCTATTCCTCTCTAAAATACCAAATTAAAAAAATACAAACTATTGAGGGATTGTCTATTCCTCTCTAAAATACCAAATTAGTGAAGAATATTGATTTCGCAACTTCACTTAAAATTAGCAAAGAAAATAGTGAGAGACTATCAATTCCTTTCTAAAATAAGAGAATTAGCGAGAAAAATAATGAGAGACTGTCAATCTCTTTCTAAAATAAAAGAATTAGGGAGAAAATAGTGAGGGATTACTAATCCTTGCTAAAATAAAAGAATTAGCAAGAAAAATAGCAAAGGACTGTCAATCTTTTTCTAAAATAAGACAATTAGTGAAGAAAATAGAAAAAGACTACTAATCTCTCTTTAAAATAAGATAATTAATAGGAAATTTAGTAAGAAATTCTATCCCTAGCTAATTACTGTAAAAAAAAAATTTAACTTGTGGAAATGACTTTTAATTATATATTTAATTATTTTTATTTAAAAATTAACTAAAATATTCATGATAAAATTATTTAATATTTTCTTTATTTTAAGTTCATTTTCATTAATAAAATAATATTTTATTAAAAATATAATATAAAGAATAATTTAAATAAAATATAAATATTTTTAATATATAAATAATTAAAAATAAAATTTAATATGAATATACGTGTGTATTTTTATAATATATTATTTGATATATTTATGTAGTTAAATAATATATATTTAATTTTTTATATAATAACTGCAGGTACCTTTCAGTTCAAGTAACAAAGAAGAAGAGTATAAAGTTTGGAAGGCGTTAAGTCAAGGGTTCAAGTCTTGATTTTGGCATAAATATAATGAATATATGATATGGTAGGGAGCAAGTGACATGGCGCAAAGTAAATAATAACATGTCATAAATTGTTACACATGTGCTAGGTGATGGGACATGAGATGGTTGGTGACATGACGGTTGACGAGGCACAAGGTTATTGATAACATGTCATAAATTAACACACACATAACAGGTAATGTGACATTACTATTTTTAAATATAGGCATATTTAGTAAGGAATTCAATCCCCTATTAATTTTAGTGAAGGACTGAATCCCTCGCTAATTAGTGAGAAAAATATGATCCATTGTTAAATTTAACGAGTCCTTTTTCAATTATAAATTTAACAAGGGACAAAATCCCTTGCTAAAATGCAATTTAGCTAGGGATTTGTCCCTTGCTAAATTTCATTTTTCTAGTAGTGCTATTCAGAGCATAAGGTTGGAAAAATGAGATTTTTGCTTAATGATATAAGAGAGGTTAAAATTTATTTGAAATGTATTGTGCAAACCTAAGCCAAATATTAGATTCTTTTATAATAGTTTTGTTAATATAAATTGTGTTGAATGGCTGTAATTACAACCCAACTATAATTGTAGATATGTATGAGTAGTAAAAAGAATTAAATTGTGCTATTTGGAAAAGTTGCTAGGTGGTTATAAGATTTTGAAATATATGACTATTTTTATTTTTCCTATTCTATTATATATATGATGTTTCCAATTTTAAATTAGATTATATGGGCCTTTCACACTTAATTTTGATTTTAAATCTTCAGATCCCAAATTTAAAAAATGATAATTTAAAGAGTTTAATTTCACTTATCATGATAGTATTTATTTATCTAGCTTAATTTTTTCTACCATAGTTGTTATTTTAAAAGGTGAATTTTTTAAAAAAATTATGTTTTATCCTTTTCCATCATGTTAGCTCCTTGTTATAATCATCACATTTCAAGTTATAGAATTGTTTTAAAATAAAAAAGGATTTGTTGACTTCTATTTATCATAATAGATACTTTCTTATCATGATTGAGTTAATTGTTTAAAAAGTTTGCTCCAAAAAAAATTGTTAAAAAAGAATTTGGGATGCTATACAAATATATATTTATATTTCATCAATTATACATAATTTATTTGACGTGAATTTATTATCTATGTGACTTTTTTTTTTAACATTTTATACTTTGATATATATATATATATATATATATATAAATGATATATTTAAATATTATCGGGTTTAAGTGAAAATAATTTTTTACATTCTTACTATTCGAAACTTAATATCTTGTGTTTAACTGCCATACCAACTCAGTAAATAAGTTTACTTTAATTCAACCATTGCCAGACCAATTGACAATGGATTGGGAGGGCAGTGGGTTTTTTTTTTTTTTTAAATTAAGACATTAATAAAAAATTTGCTTTATTGTGTGGAAAGTCATCGTATTACTTTATGAAAATCGTTTTATATATTAGTTAGTTTGGAATCTTGTTTTACCTTTGGTGGCTTTCAAAGAGAGGCAAATGAATAATATAAAGATTTAGTCCAAACATAATTAATTTCTTTTTTCTCAACAAAGATTCAAGTCTCACTTTATTACTATATTATAAGAGATTAATTCTCTTCTCTTGATTTAACTGTCATAAATGGTTAAACAAATAATTTCAATGTAATATTTATATGATGTTTTATATATAATAATTTTTTGTTTGCCCAGTACCAAGGTAGTTAAACTTACGAGTTTAAGTAAGTTCATGACATAAATGTAAATTAGATTGTAAACTCATAAGATTTTACTTTTGTTAATAAATAACTATTAAAAGTATATAATTAAATAAATATAAAATATGATTATAATTTAATTTAAATATATTTTAAGTATAAATCATTAAAATTAAATCTACATACATCGATAAATTATCATGTTAAACATAAAAATTTTAAAATAAGGCAACTTATTCTTGTCAGTTTCTTTTTCATTAATATTAATATTTGATTTTTAAGTTTTATTTTTTTTAAATTGTATCCTATCACTTCTATAAAGCAATTTCTATGGACGATATATCTAATTTGCTCAACTCAATTAAAAATTGACATGATTTTAAAAATTAAAAACGTAAAAATGATAAACTCATAAAGTTAACTTGCGAGTTTACTTGAATTTTATCTAATTCGAGTTTATGAACCAATTAACACGATTTTATAAATTAGAAACATAAAAATAATAAATTTAGAGAGTTCATTCAAGAGTTTAACAATCATGTTTGGTGCATAGAGCAAAGTTAAGAAAAGTTTACACCTTTTGCCTTCACATCCAAAAATAAATAATCTCCAACTCTCACCAATAACAAAAAAATAATTATCTTTTTATATAGACAAAGGAAACAAAAGAAAAACTATAAGGTAATGCTAGTATCATGTACCAAAACTGAGGGAGGGGAAAATAAGGGATAAAGCCCAACAATGCAAGAGCCAATTTCAAAAACATATCAGTAGCAATATTTGCATCTCTTGAAATTTTATGGGTCTTAGCCAATCAACTCATAAGTCAAAAACTCTTGGATCTAAGTAAAAATGATTACTCCTCCAGTTTAAAAATATAAGTCATTTTTAATTGAATTTTACCTATCAATAAAGAAATTGCCTATTTTTAAACTAACCTTATCTTTTCATATTTACCTCTATTAAACCCCTTATAATAAATATAAAGTCATTATTAATAACAGTACTTTTGAAAAAAAAGACAATGATTATACCTTAAAAAATTAAAAATATCTTATATTTTTGAATATTCAACTTTTCAAAAGATACTTTATATTTTTAAACGGAAGGAGTTTTTTTTAGTTTTTTTGATTACTAATAAAATGTGATATATTAATGACAATACATCCTTTTAACATTGTTTTCTTTTAGATCATGTTTTTAAATTTTTTGTTACGGATGAATAATTTCTCAATTTTAAATTATGTGATAAAAGTTTTCAACATATTATTTTGTTATACCAATTTATAATTTACAAGAAAAAGAAATAATAGTCTCTTAAATTATCTCAATTATCAATTTAATCTTTAAATTTAGTTTTTATTAATCCTCCTTACATGTTCTTAAATTATCATTTAAGTTCTTTATATTTATTTTAATTCACAAATTAACCCTTAAATTAAATAACATGTAAAGCATGATGATGATTTAAAATATATCATATATGCAATTAAATAAGAATAAGTTAGCTTTCACGAATAATCTATTTTTTTTTCTAAAAAAATTAACTTATTCTCATTTAAAAATATATACATATAAAACTCTTTATTTGAAAAAATATTTATAATTAATCTTAATATATTAATTCGAGAATTAATTTATTTTTTAAAGCTAAACAGACTAGAGTAATAATTTAAAAAATATAAAAATTTAAAAAAAAAAAGTTAAAGTGATCAAATTTTCTTCATCCACATAAAAAAAGACACAATAAATTCCCAGGAACTCTACCCGAACAACTTTTTAAAAAGTAGCTTGCACCGTACTGTCCGCCGCCAAGCTCCGGCTGCCGTCGGTGAGATTTCGCTTTTCACCATCTTCTCGGTCGAATTCAGCCTCTCGCTTGAGGTTCCTCTCTTTCTGGATGACTTTCTCTTTTGCGGTCTCCTCCTCGCGGTTGCTGCTCTCTTCGATTCCGGTAGTGCCACGGCGTCATAAAACTCCATTTCCACCTAGGTTGTTTTTCCCTTCCACTCCCGCATCTTTCTTTTCGTGCTCTCCAATTCAATTTTACTTTTTTCTATCATCAGGATTGCAATTCGTGCTTTAGTCAAATTTGAATGCAGTCTCATTTATCACTGGTTTGTCTCTTTTTGCCGCGTTTTAGGTAGAAAAACCGCAAATTAGAGTCGATTATAGGTAACGGAGTCAAACTTTTAATTAATCTTGAACCTTGCTCATGTTTTATCCTGCTGTTTCTTTTTTAGAATCATGTAGCTACATGGTTTTAGGCAAGTTATTCTAGTTCCATAGTTTTTGTTTGCCTATTGGGTTAGCACATGGAAGTGCTCTTTTTTGCCAAATATTTTGATTCACATTGAGTTTTAGGCAGTGTCTTGTGTAGAAAAATGGACTAAGCCACTCTGGAAGTACATGGCACTCTTCCCTTATAATGAAAAGAGAATTGGATATACACGTTGGAGTTACTATTCTCTTGAAAATAACTTTCAAGTCCCAATAGAATAGAAAGGAAAATACAGCAAAAGAAAGGTATCAGAATAATAGATTGAGAACAGGGGGATTGAGACTTGGGGCGTCCAGAATTGAAGGCACAATAGTTAAATCTTGGATGTACTGTTAAGATTGAAAAGATATAGAAGAGGAGAAATAGGAAATTTCAGAAGAGATTATCTAACACAAGGGCGGAAGAAGAATGGTAAAAAAAAAATTCCTCTTTATCTTTTCCTTTTGTTTCACATTTTTGAGACAGAAAATAGTCCAATTGCCTGGGGAGGAGAATTATAAAATTGGAGGCTAAAACACGGATGAGGTAGTTAAAATGGGGACGGTTGGACAGATGAGCGGATCTTATTTTTTCTTTCCTGTGCTTGGCAGAGGGCTGGGAAAGGAGATTATTGAAAATAAATTTACCTTGTGTGCTTTTTTTTTTTTTTTAATACAAGACCAAGGCATAACCATGCAAAAGTGACAAAATCAAGTGATGTCTAAAACCATAAGGTTTCTACATTTAGGCAGTGGATTATCAAGAATCCTAATGTCAAATTTATCCCAAGATGGCTGGCGGGCGAGCAAGTCAGAATATCTGTTAGCTTTCCTATAAACATGGTTGAAAGTGACCCAGTCCTTTATGGTGAGGTCTTAAATTTTCCTAATAATGTCAGAAAGCGGGTGTCTTTTAGAGTAGTCATGCTCGATGAGGATAAATCTTTCATTGAATTAGAGTAGACATTAACTTTATGGAGTTTAGCATTACAACATAGGTTGAGACCTTCAAGAGTAGTTATGTGCTTGTTTTAATAACAGATAGAAGAAAAAAGGCATGATATGTTCTTAATTGTATAATAAATTCATTTCTCCCTCACTTTTTCTGCCCAAACCTTTCATTTTCACTCCTCTCACTTTTATTTCTACCAAGCATACCTTAAATGTATCTGTTTCATGTTACTAAGTTTTCTTTGGTTTATGTTTGCAATGAATAAGGAAGTTTTTGAAGCCTTTCTAATGCTTATATAACATCAATTTCTTGCAGCTTCTCACCCAATTTTCCTGGCCAATCTAAAATCAGGTAAGTTCCCTTGATCAATTTGATCTTTTCTAAATAGTAATTCAAAATAATAATGTAAATGACTAATTTGGTCATTTTCAAAATTTATATATCAAATACTAATAATAATTTTTTTATTTTTTTGAGAGAAAACAGAGAAAAGAAAATGGAACCTTGTCAGCTTTTATCTGTTTTCTATGCATATTGCATAGTAACATACTTTGGAAACTGAACAAGAACTGTTATGTCAAACAAGTTTTTCTATTTCTAAAAACATGAAAAATGTTTTTGAAATCAGGAATCGAACAGGTCCAACAGTTCCGTATGAGTACAAATTAAGTCTTTACGTATTTGTTGGTCAACTCATTTCAGCTATGCACAACTGCAGGAAGGTTGTTAAAATGTCTGCCACTGACATCGCAAGCTCTACAATATCATCTAAGTCCTTTGCAATTAAGCCTCCCATACATCCCACTTATGACTTGAAGAACATAATCAAGTCAGCACTTGCAGAGGATGCTGGTGATCAAGGTTTATATTTAACCTTTCTCCTGAGGGTCTTGCATAAACTTCCCTTTTTCCTGTTCTGGATCTCTATTTATAATAATAATAATAATTAAATTGATGAGTCACTACCTGTTTTGTTTCTTATAATTTAAAACAGTCTTGTGATATTGCTGGGGCTTCTCTAAAAAGCAATATTGATGTTTACTATCTAATTTGGTATTAGTAAATCATAAATGCATAAATGGCATTGGTTACCATGTCTTTCATTAGGTGATGTTACATGCTTGGCCACCATTCCATTTGACATGGAAGTGGATGCTTATTTTTTGGCAAAGGAGGATGGCATTATTGCTGGCATTGCACTAGCAGAGATGATATTTCATGAGGTTGATCCATCTTTAAGGGTATGAAGGTAACGTCATGAGATTACATTTCTTGTTCAGTTAGTATGTGGTTGAGGCATTGTAAGGTTAATTTCAGGTGGAGTGGTCTCAAAACGATGGAGATTATATTCATAAAGGGCTCCAGTTTGGAAAAGTTCATGGTAAGAAAATTAAGGGGAGATGTAGCTGCAAAAGCAAAAATGAAAGAAAATCATCAGCAGAATTGGGATAATGTTCTAAAAGGCTGTTACTAATTGTCCTTAATTTATGTGTAGGAAGGGCGCACAACATTGTAGTAGCTGAAAGGGTAGTGCTAAACTTTATGCAGAGGATGAGTGGCATTGCAACCTTAACTAAGGTTTTGTTTCTTTAAGTACATCTTTTTATTAAATTTTCTTCGATTTGCTTTTTCTTTACAAGAAACTGATTGCCAATGGAACCTCTCAGTGAACTACATTAGCTAGTACTGGATGCCATTTCTAATGGTCCCTGTTGGGATATTAACAAGCTTTCGTACCATTTATTGGCAATGCCTGCAATTATAAATTAGAATTGCAATAACTGGTCAAATTAGACAAGTCTCTAGCTTTCATATTTAGCTCAGCTGCTCATGACTTTGTAGCCCAGTTTTAAACTTTTGAAGGGGAGGGACCTGGGTTGAAGTGTCAAGATGGTTACGAATTAGTTGTATTAACTGTATCGTAGTTGTTGTCCTGCTGTGATTAAGTGAGTTATTTAAACAACAGTTACAAGACTCTTAGTCTATAAATACCCTGAGCATATTCCTTCTTATCATGAATGACAGACTCATCATTTCATTTTTGCTGATCTGTCTCATGCTATAACCAGGAAGTTGACCCATTGTGGAGGTCTCTTTTACATTCAAAACTAAAATTTTACATTACATTAAATAAAAAATAGGACATGTTTCCTGCCACATCTGACTGTTGTATGAGTTGTCTAAATGACTATCATAAACTGTTTGTAATATTGGCCTTGCATATAATTTTGTAGTTAAAGTAATCGACATGTTTTGGCCACAAGTATGAAAAATTATCCATTGCGAGTTGAAAAAGATAGTAAAATATGATATCTCACCATTTACATTGACCAGTGATTTTTTTTTTTTTTTAATACGTTTGTTATGTATTTGGACTACTTTCTAGATTAATGTTCTTTATAGAAAATGGCAGATGCAGCATACCCAGCATATATCTTGGAGACCAGAAAAACTGCTCCAGGTTTACGACTATTGGACAAGTGGGCGGTCTGAATCTCTTCCTTATATCTACAGTAATAGAGCATTTCATTTTTTTTTTAATAATGAAATTCATACTTGATCAGCTTTTATACATCTGATTTTGTAGGTACTGATTGGTGGTGGTCGTAACCATAGGATGGGTTTGTTTGATATGATAATGATAAAAGATAATCATATATCAATAGCTGGAGGTTTAACTAATGCTCTTAGAGCTGCTGACCTGTATTTAAAGGAAAGGGATCTCCAAATGCCAGTAGAGGTGACTGTTACTTTGACATATCTTTTTGCTGTTCATTTTGAGGCTGTTATGAGCATTCGATGCACGTGGATATTGTTTTCGTCTTATGTCAAGATTACTTGATTTTTTGCTGACTACCGACTTCAAATTTATGTTGTCCATGTGATCACTGTGAGAGCATAGGCTTTTTGGTGTTTATTCTCTGGCTATCCATGCATGTGCAGGATCAAGCCTTGCAGAAGCTAGGGTAGTTTTAAGGTACTTGTGTTTTTCCCAGGTTGAGACCAGGACACTTGAGGAAGTGAAAGAAGCATTACATTATGCATCCCAAACAAAGACTTCTCTTACCCGAATTATGTTGGATAATATGGTTGTGCCTCTAGCAAATGGGGATGTTGACATATCTATGCTTAAAGAAGCTGTAGAGTTGGTCAATGGGAGATTTGAGACTGAGGTATGCAATGCTAACAAATTTCAGTATGATATTTCTGGTACCATGGAGACTATCATCTTCCTTGCTGAAGTCTTCTTTTTGGCATTTGTTAGTTTATCTGCTACTTCTCCAGTCCTTTTGTTCTTGTTTGCGTAGCCATTCGGTTTAAATGTAATGCATTCTATCTTATTAAGAGTTCAAGGTTAACTTCACGGTAAATATTGCCCCTTTATCAGTGTAGTAACTAATTTCCAATGTGTCTCTGTCGTGATAACAGGCATCTGGCAATGTTACTATTGAAACAGTACATCAAATTGGGCAATCTGGAGTAACCTACATTTCAAGGTAAAAGTGTCCTCCTGCAAATGCAACTCCAAACCTCTGATATGGGCATGCATTTTTCTTCCCTTTTTTCTTTTGGTAGTCAATTCCTTGATATTGGATGTGCTGGTGAAATAAATCAGAATAGGCATGTCCAAGACAAAAGATTTAAAAAAACAAAAATTGAAAGATTACCCAAGTCCAAAATTACCACTTATTCAGATAAATGATGAGTAGGGATATCTCAGATTAAAAATTGACCTTTTTATCTGGGAATAGAGTGTGGTACTCTTCCTTGGTGGAGTTCTTGTTCATAATTTCTATATTTTCTTGGAGAACACTCAAACTCATTCTAGGTCTAAATGTCCTTCTAACTGATGGAATACAAGGCTTTGGTTTTTTGTCGGGAAAAATTGTTAAAGCTTTGTAAATGCTTTTTGGTATATGTCCTTAACCAATAACAACTTGTCGTGAGACAGATAATTAAAATGCTCAATTATTTTCCCTTCAACCAGTTTGAATATATTTCATTTCGTGGGGGAAATGATTAAAATCATCATATTTTGAGCACATGAGAAAGCATAATTTTTCTTTTTTCGTTCAACTTCTTTTGAAAAGAGGAGTGAAGGTTTTTTTTTTTTGGGGGGGGGGGTTAGAAGAGGATTCACTATTCATGATGCCAAGTTGAGTTCTTAGATCTCATACTGTTTTATATTTTTATTCCCCAGTTTATATTTGTGACTTCGAAAACCTTGATAGTATATTTATGTGCAGGATGTGTTTGTGTTGCTGTTTACCATCCATCGGAATTCAGATGAAATCCTATATTTTCAGTAGAGTTTTTTTTTTCCTTGGTAATTCAACTACTGTTTTTCCCAAAAAAAAAAGGAACTAATTCGCAATTGCATCAAATATCAATTAATCTGTTGAGTTCTAATAACCTGCATAATAAGCATGATCTTTTTTTCCTTGTATTTTATTCTGGTTCTTACTGTTGTAAGAAACCCGCTAGTCGTATTATTGCTGTGGAATATTACTACAGTCACTTGCCTTTCTGCAGTGGTTCACTAACTCATTCTGTGAAAGCACTTGACATCTCCCTAAAAATTGATACTGAGCTGGCACTTAAAGTTGGAAGGCGTACTGGAAGAGCCTAATTGTGCTTCATTGAAGTTTCTCACTAATAACGTATGTTATCTAGACTCCTGATGCAATAAATTATTGCCAATTCTCGCTTTTCTGCGTTCAAAAATGATGAGGCGTCCACTTGCGGATGGTGTCTAAATTGCAGCGTTGTCTGTAACCTAAATAAAATGACTGTATACTAGTCAGATTGAACATATATCACATACTTGAAACAAACTTCGTTTCTTTTTTTTTCTTTCTTGGACCTCTTTTTTTACATCAGTTTTAAGTAGTGACCAAAGCATATCAGATAAGTTACAGTTTGACCATTTTGTGGCTGTATGCTGTATGATTGGTAATAGGATAACTGTTGTTCTACGTTATGGATCATGGTGGAAGCATGTCTTGGCAATGAAAGTATGCTTTATCTGTCCCTTCTTACCCCCTCCTTTTTTCCTTCAATTTTCGTATTTTTTGATATTGCCTGGTCTTACCTGTTGTGGGTTAATATAAAAGAGGGTTATTTGTAGTTTCCCAAAATATTGATAGGGAAACACATGTACATTTTTTTTTTCATGTACCATTTAAACACTAGGATCCACATGTAATAGCTTATATATACACACATGCACGCTCATGCAATCTACATAGGTTAAACAATTAAAGTTCTAATTTAACCTATTTACTGTGTTTGGTACATGAAGGGTTACCAGGAAATGAAAAATGTTAAGGGAAGTATTTTTATAATGTTTGCCAGATGTTAAGTAATTTTCATAAAAGTGAGATATTTTTTCATTTTTTTTCAAATCAGAGCTTTCTCGTTAAAAGCATTTTTCTTGTTTACAGAGACTCGAGTCGAAACCTTGTGTTTATAATTACTGTCAATTTCACTAGAATTATTCCATGTTAATTTATTTATATTTTTCATTAAGATTCCCGTGTTATATGAAAGGGGCCATCATGTATGTCTCATTCTTTAATAATAAGTCCACTGTGATGTGGGAAAAGTCGTGTGTCCATTTATTTTCTACAAAGCCTAATAAATGTGGAAAAATCTTTGCCATGACTTTTTCGTGAAGCTGATCTTCCCCATCCCTTCATCCACGTCACTTTCTTATTTTCTTCTCAATACGGCTTACTTTTCCAGCTCTTCAATATCCCCTTTTCTCCCCTTACGCGTCAGCCAAAAAAAAAAAAAAAATCTTCATTTCCCGTTTTCAAAACTCGTTACTTTGCTAGTCTCATATGCAACTTGATCTTCCAAGTTGAGATCAAACAATACTTTTCAGCTTTTCTGACATATTTTTTTTTTACTTCTATTAAATAAATAGTTTTTTGTATTTTTATTTATTTTCTAGTAATAAAAATAAAATAGTCCAAATAAAGAAAAATAAACGGTAAGAAGAATCAATTTCGGTTGGTCTGTTTGATTGGTAAATTTTTCTAATAAGAAAAAATTTAGTAAGTTGAGTCTAGAAGATTTACTAGGATTAGGGCATACTTTAAAATTCAAAAAATATTTATAAAAGTATTTATAAATTACTCACTAATAGGGTTTTCATATTGACAATAAGATTGGATCTCAAACTTTTTATGAATTATAAATCAAATTTTTATTAATTGAATTAACATTAGTTCGTCGAACCCGTGAATCTGCATATTGAAGCAAAGTCAATTCAGACCAAAAGAAAAGAAAAAACAGAGGAGTTCAATTTAATTTCCTTCTCACTAAGATGGACCAAATTCAACGAAAGTCGGAGGAGCAATAATTTTTCACTTTTCTCATGATGATCACTTTTATTCACTCTAGTGAAATCAGATAGTCCCCCAAAAAAAAAACATCACTGAATAATTTTTTTTTTTTTGGTAATTTGCCCATTCTTGTACGACATGACGATCTCTCAAAGGGTAGTTTATTTTATGATTTAACTAGACACGTTTCTTGTATTTCACACTAAGGAGTAAATTGTACTGTTTGTTCGGATAAAAAAAGCAAATTAATTCTTAAATTATAGGCAATGAAGTATTTGAGATTATAAATTTATTTTTGATATAAAATTTCACTTTACTTTTTGAAAATAGTGAAATATGGCTCTTACAATTAATAAAAATTAATTTTAATCATTAATTGATGAAAAATGACTTAAAAATTATAAAAAATGACTAAAAATAGAGAAAAGGATCAAAAAAAATTTTGTTGATCCTTTTTCTGTAATTTTTAACTTTTTCTATTATTTTTGGTTAACTAACAACTAAAATTAACTTTTATTAACGGTAAGGGCTAAATTACACTGTATTTAAAAATTAAAAAAGAATATTATACCAAAAATAAATATATGGTCCTAGATACTTCTAGATATATACTTTAAAGATCAATTTACTCTTTTATCCTATTTGTAAATTTTTTTGTGTATTGCATAAAAAAAATATGACAAAATAAAAATTGCCAAGATTTCTTTTTTCGAGATGACAAGAAGAGCAAATCCTCTCATTTACTCTCTCCCTTTAAAAATTATAATCCATTCGTTTTTAATCATATGTTTAAAAATACAATGCATTTTTAGTTTTTTAACATTTAATTAATAATTTTTTTAAATATTCTTAATAAATAGGCCACTCAATCATGTATTTTTAAATGAGATACCATATATTAAACAAAGGCAAACCTAGCGAGAAAGGTGCCTAAACTTAATACTTAACTCCCCTTAAATATGATTGCTTTTAATTTGTTTTAAAAAAATCCTTTTATATATATATATATTCCTTCTGGACTAGAATATAAGGTATCTTTTAAAAGTTTTACCTATTTTAAAATATAAAACATTAGATAACTTTTATATTTATTTGTTCAATTATATCCCTACTTCATTTATTATTCTTTTGAAAAGTTCATGCATTGAAATTTTAATTACTATTATTAAGGCTTTTATAGACTCCCTCCATATCAAATTATAAGATATTTTTGGAAAAGATTTGGCTATAAGACACTTTGAAAAGATTAATATTTTATTAAATATGTTTATTGCAATATTACCCGTTCTCTATAGTTAATTTCTATCCCTTCTCTTTTCAATATATTAAATGATGAATGTTTTTAAAAGTTTATATTTTCATTTTGAAAAGATAAGATTGTTAAGTATATTTAATGAGATTTATTAGTATGTAAGATTTTTTCTAAAAGTGTCTTACAATTTAGAATAGAGAGAGTAATAATGACAATATAAATGAAAAGATGTGGACATTTTTTTTTAGTAAAATAAGGAAACTTCATTCAAAAAGAAGCAATCAAGCACAAACAAAGAAAGACCAAAGAAAGAAAAGCCATAAGGACATCGTTAAGGGACCAAAAGGAACCCTAATGAGGAGGTACCTGAAACAAATTAAAATCACAAGAAATACTATGTGCCAGCTTAGCTAGATAGTCATTATCCCTGTTAACTTCTTTATACAAAAAATGAATGTTAGCATCCTAATTTCTAAGCAAAAATCTTCTTATAGCCTGAATAATATTACAGAAGGGATGATCATTATAGTTGTCCTTTGCGATAGTTGAAATGGCATATGTACTATCGCAAAATAATTTCATAGTTCTAAATTCCTTCTTCCAACATAATTCCAACACATAAAAAATGTCATAAATTTTTGCAATACCAACGGGAATATGGTCCAGCTTTTGACTAAAACCTAAACCCAATTTTCAGTATTATCTCTTAAAATTCCACCATATGCACTATGCTCATCAACAAGAACAAACCCATCCATCTCCAATCCAAGTGCATCAATTCTGGAGTGATGAGGACAATCAGCAAAATGAAGACCCTCACGATTTTCAACTCATATTATTCATAAATTATAAATTAGTTAACTATGACTTATATTATTATTTAAATGGAGTGTGTGTGTGTATATATATGTATGTATCTATACATGTATATATGTGTATATATATATATATATATATCTCTATATAAATGCAAGCTAAGAAGTTGATATATGTGTTGAGGGCATTGACAAAAAGACACAAAGATATGAAGTAATACTCTCTTGGTCCTTTTCATAAGTCATTTTTACTAACATCATCAATAACAGTATAACAAAAGTATAAGGAATAAGAATAAGTGAAATTTCAAATATAACTCTTAAATAAAAAGTAAAAACTAAACAAACTATATAATATTATTTTTCATCACTCTCTCACACTTTTTAAGGATGGTTTGGAAATTTTAATTTGAAATAAAATAATTCCATCAATTGAAGACTTATTAAGTGGATAAGATTGTGTTTCTCAAAAGCACCTAGTATACAAAATTGGAGGAAGTATGTGTACTACTATAATGATCATATAGAGCAGAGCAAAAGCACAACTCTTGTACTTCCTCTGGTCTTATTTATAAGAAAATTCTAGAATGTTCATTTGATCTTATTTATAAATCATGGTACAATTTTTTAGGTAATATTTGAAAAGTATTTTCAAAATTACCTTTCATGAGAAAGAGAAAATAATATAATATCACTTTTTAAATTTGCTATAAAGGGGTATATTTGAAATTTCATGCACATCTAGTTTTTTTATTTTTTTGTATTGGTATTGATGATATTGGTAAAAATAATTTATAAAGAGCAGCAGAGTGATAAGAGATACTCCAAATAAATGAAACAAAACCTCTTAAATGCTAATCGTAATTGCAATTGTATGTAAAGTAAAAAAGAAGGCATAGTATATCAATAATCTGCATGAACAATGAATTATGAACCCATAGCATTTTATTTCTATAGGTTTTGCTAACAGTATGTAGGACCTTATATTAATGTTAATCCTATTTATTTACCTCAGAGATGTACTGTATATACTACAGTTTATTGAAAAATCAGATTGGACTGGTCAGGTCAACCCGTGAACCGATGACCCAGCCTCTCCACCAGTTCAGTTTTCATCCTAACCTAGTTAATGAGTGACTCGATATGACCCGGCCAACTCGATGTAAACCAAATAACTTGACAAGTTAGATGAGTTAACTGGATCACCTATTTTGCCATTCAGAAACCCTAAAACATCTTATTTTACCCTTTAAAGTCCACAAAATAATGACATTTTAGGGGTTTAAAAAAAAGAAAAAACTAAAAAAGTAAAAAAGCTTTGCTAGTTTTGTTTCTGAATTCTGAAATCAATCTATCGAACCCTACCCCCACTAGTTTTAAATACTCATCCCTAGCCCTAATTTAAATTAAACCCCACTCATCGATCGTCGACCATCGTCGCTGCCTGTTCTACTGTCATCGCTCTCTTGAGCTCCTGGCTTTCCTAGTTTAAACTCTATCTCTCTCATAGTGCAGTAGAAGTGCAGAACTTGTTATGCAGCAGAAGTGTAAAACTCACTGTGATCGTGATGTATAGCTCATATCGCTCTCGACTCTCCTCTCTTTCACCGTGAA